AGTATGGCAGTCCATATGGTTACGACACGTGAATATAAGACAAAGAGGGTCGTTAAAACACATGGATATAAGACAAAGCGGGTTGAGGCCAATGTCCTCTAACACACTGAGGTCAGCATGGTAGTGCTCTTGCATGTGTACTACTTGACACAATGTAGCCCCTTATCCTTTGTGCTTTGTCTCTATCTTAGCTCGGGTCTCTATCTTAGCTTGTGCCATCGCTATACCTAGAGTAACTTAGCAACTAGCTTGACAGGTCTTGGCTAGGATAGCTCATTAGTTGCCAACCTGGAGGCTTTGTAAGTATAGTTCTACTAGGTCTTGTTCTATCTTAGCTTGTGCCATCGCTATACCTAGAGTAACTTAGCAACATGACAGGTCTTGGCTAGGATAGCTCATTAGTTGCCAACCTGGAGGCTTTGTAAGTATAGTTCTACTAGGTCTTGTGCAAGAGTCTTCCTTCAAACAGATACGAACTGTTAGCTCTACCTAGCTAGGTCAGCTATTCCACTAGTCATGTGGGCAAAATGAGGCGTTATGTGTATGTTAGGTGTTCAACTAGTATAACAGACATGCTTAGTTCGAGCCTGAGGTACTCATCCAGTTGTTATATTTATGGTCCTCTAAGTTCTTCCAAGAAAACAAATTTAAGTTAATAAAATGGGAAGGCAACCAGGGAAGGCTTACAGAGTTAACCTTATAATTCATTTTTCCTTGACTTTGCAGAGTGGATTGACCCTCAGCTCTGATGGAATATTTCGGGTCCCCTGTCAACGGACTTGCCAGAGGAAGACTTGGACCTAAATGAGATTCCAGCAGCAGATGATTCTTAACTGATTTGAATTACCTCCCCGTTTCTCTGTTCTATTTTCATTCATTATATGATATAATCCCTAAAATTGGTTAGGGCTTATAATGAGCTATCTTTCTTTTGTTTTTCTTTCCCTCCCTGTCCCCGGAAACATGCAAGAACATGCTGAAGTATCTGTATCTGCTGACATTCTGTTGTTTATCCTGTATAAAGTCACACATATTGCGGATGACATCTCAAATCTGAGAGTGTAAACTCATATAAATAACCTTATTACTAGATGATCAACCTGAGAAGATTTAAAAAACAATGGGTAAAAGCATAATTTTCAAAGAATTTTAATTAAATATTCTATATATCGGCTGTGTTCATCCGAACCTTCACCATTGCCTCACCTTCTTCTGTAAATGGGAGATTTGATCAGCCACAGGCGAGCTGCCTCGCCAACGAGTCGAGGTAGATAAAGGTGGAAGAAAGATAGTTTTATACTTTGAATCCACTATTTTGCAATCTAACTGTAAAACAAATCATTAAATGAAAGAATCCTTACCACCAAAGAACTCCTTATCATCCGCTAGTCTATGTTTTGCAATTTGCAAAATACATTTTTGGGCTACATCAAACGGGCATTATCCACTTCCTGAAACAAAGTTCACTGGATATTCAAAATCTGTGAACTCGGTCCGTTAATCGCTCTTTTACATAAATCTAAATTCTTTTCTTCCACGATATGATTTTTCCTTCTTTTTTTTTTTTAATCTTTTGGCAGTAACCGTAATACATTTTTTTTATACCGACCAAAAAAAGAAAAAAAAAAAAAAACTAAAGTCAACAAACGTAGTGAAGTTATTATTCTTTGATGCGGTGCGTAATTATAAATTAAAACCAAAAAGTAGATGGTATGAATAGAAACCTTATTCTGTTCTTGTCAATTTGCTCGAGGTTATACAATACAGGAATAGGTTCTTGTGAGTTGGACGAAGTCTACACAAAAAGAACACCTTTGATGAAATACCCACTTTTGAGAGGCTCTGCATGGGTAAATTGCATCAATCGATAAACAAAGCAGATTCCTGCGCGTAAAAGATTCACAAAGTAGATAAACACCGCATATATCCACAATATTTACATGTGAACTTCATGCGTATGTTGCGAACATTTATATCTGTACACTGCTCTACCATGCCCCTGGTCTGGATTAGTTGGGCTCTAGTCTCCAATGCAACCCTTATGTTCCTTCCCCTTGCGAATTGGAGGTGCGTACAGAATTGACATCAACTGTAATAGTGTCCGTGAGTAGCGTGGTTCTCAATTTTAGCAACGGACTACAACAATTCATATTAGTTGAATAAACCAGGTCCATCAGCTCAAATCAAAACCAGCATCTGCATTTATAGCATACAGCAGTTTTGTTTCCAGTTGCTCTTTGCTGTTGCAGAAAACAGGTTGAGGAGTGAGTAATGTAGAGAAAAAAAATCCAGAAGCTTATTCAGTTTTCAGTTGTGGGAATCCCTCTCAAAGAGACAATAAAAGGAACATCCTTCTCTCTAAAACAGGTCCATGAGCTTATTATTCATTTTCTCTAAACTAAACTAAGCTTATGTGGGACAGGGACAAACCTTCTATACGGTGGGAGCTTCAGCAAGTTCATACAAGTAGCTGATGTGGGTAATCGATCCAAAGCTTCTTCAGTTGGAGTGCCAGCAGCCCTGGAAAGGAGTCCACAACACAATTTTCAGGTCATTGGGAAAGGAAAGCAGCAGAAAAACCAAGACGACCCAAAAAAATGTATCATGCATCTAACTTTCTCAGCCACTTGGCTAACTAACAGAAGTGCCTCCATTTTAGAGTACATTCTGCAGACTATTACCTTTGTATGCAAAATAAAGGTTCAAGATATTTGAACCCAAGCAGCGGACCTCGAGAGCACCCAGTCACAAACCTAGGGAAAAAAAAAAAATCTTACCATTATAATCCTTTCTGATAACTTTATTTTTGAAGCTAAGAAAGCAGTACCCAAAGAATTTGGCAGCAAATAAATAAGGAACACACAAGGACACTAATGAAAGATTATTATTTAACTCACTTCAAAAATTTCTTCTTATTTTCCAGGGAAAGGCTTTTAAGGACTTCCCAAAACATATCAATGACATAGTGCTCCTGCACAGATAAATGGTATAAAAATTAGCTCTCACAGCAAATGAAAATAAATGGCAGTTAATAACAATGTAGTATGAAATTTGTAAAATAAAATTTTGAACCATATATCCTGCTTCAACTAATACAACTGAAACACGTAGTTTACATGATAGCCCCTTTCATCCAGAACTTGAACCAAAAAGAGATGGAAAGGATGAAGAGGATGGAGAGAGAAAACAACTTACACTATGATAGCCACCCCCATAATTGGTGTTCAGTCGAAGGTCATCAACATCCAAGCTTTCAAGTGAACCTGATATCAGAAGCTGCAAACAGAACAGATTTGTCAAATATACTATTAAAGCCCAAAATGACAATAAATGACAGTTGCATGTTTTCAGCATAAAACTTTAGCTCACAAATACATATTTATTTAAAGCTTCGTTAGCTTTTAGCTTCTTTGAGCAACACTGACCAATATTTCATAGTCAAACTGCCTGATTGTAATGTAAGAAGACTTTAAGCTTTTACCACAGTAGGTTAGACAAGTATTGGCCACAAAGCAAACATGACCTCCAAAGATTAAAAATAGACCATCACACCTGCAATTCATGCTCATTAAACATAGCAATCCAATCTTTCTGCATGAGCTGCTGAAATCCCCTGAGGAAATAAGAACTCTGTTGTCGTATCTGAAATGGATATCATTTATTACGTCATGATCATACAGGGGAGAAACAGCAGGTGGGATGACTTGAATGAATCAAGCCACCAGAAGTTTAAAGATTAGATTACCTGGAAATTCAAACGATAGTTAGATACAAGATGAATATATGTAATAACATTATCATTAGTAACACATAGGTTTCTCCCTCCTGGAAGCAGCTCCTCTTCTGTTTGCTCTCCATACTCATTATTCACAATTACAAAGTAGAGCTCCAACTCAGATATGTCCCCTTTATAATGCTGTAAATTGATGCAATGTTGAACCATAAAAAATAAATTCCAAAAAGAGTATCATACAAATCAAGTACAGCTAAGCACCATGTATAAATCAAAAGGTAAAGGGAGAAAGGAATGATAAAAATTACCTTCAAAAAGATAAGGTGGCGATATAACTCTGGATCCAAGGAAGGCAAGTCGTTCAAATAGTTGTATCTAATCAATGAAAGGGAACAAGTATGCGTATATCAATGTTAAAAACTGCAGCATACACGATATGGAATAAATAGAGCTGGCAAAAGTATCATGAAAGCAATTCCTATCTAATCTAAGATTTAAGAAGCAATAATCATAGGGAACAAAGCCATCCTTACTTTTGTTTCAATTTACTCAAGAAGAATGTAGCAAATGGTATATCAACAAGAATCCCTTCGAACATGGCCTGCAGAGCAGACAACATGAAATCCAATCAGTAAGCCATGGAATAAATAAAATTGAGGTAGTATCCAGGACAAGTAGACAGCAATAATAGATAGCCCCAGACTAAAAGCAACTAAAATAAAGTGACTAAGTAACAACATGATATGTAAACTATGATACGCCAGCAGCTCACCCAAAAAAATGAGCATATAAGGAATATCTTATCAAATCTGAGAATTAATTATTAGCTTAATAGTTAAAATTTAAAAATACAAAACTGAAACTAAAATAAAAATCAATAATAATGGTATCTCAAATTAGCATATCCTGCCCTTTTCCACAACACTATTATTTTGCAAGATAAGTACTAGAACATATCCATAACCATGGATAAATCAGAAAATAAATGAATAATCAAATAAACATGCAATTTAGCTTGACATTAACAAGACAATAAATTTTTGGGCAAAAGAACACATACAACAAAGTATTTGAAAGCATAAGTTATGATGTATTTTGAGGAGAACCGTCAGGGAAAAAAAAAGGTAATTCCCCTTTTATATAAATTATAAAATTCTTCATTATGAACTACAAATCATAGATTATCTTCCCTGTGTGCGTCTCATAATAGAATTAAAATAATTTGTTAACTGTAACATGGTCAGTCCATATGTTTTTCTTAACATGTATCAGGTATGATAATAGAAGGTTCAATGAACAACAAGCCTATTTACCTTACAGGAGAGTCATTGCAACAACCTAGACACCATACCTTTGCAAGAAGAGTTCCTAAGAAATGGAAAAACTGGAGATGTTGTTTATGAATCATTCCAGATCCAGGATTTGGATAGAGAAGGTGATCAGATGTCTCCTGGATAACAATGCAAAATGGAATTTCTATCAAATATAGATGAAGACAGGTGCAAGTAACCAGCAACAATAAACATACAAGAGAAATTAACATATTAATCAATGCAGATCATAATAAGCAAGAGGGAGAGTTGAAAGTTTTTGGAAGGCATAGGGAAAATAAGTTATCATCGTGCAAACTCAGGCTAGTTACAAAAGACAACCTCTATCACAAGCTAAAGAATTCTATCCTCTTGTTTGAACCTTCACAGGGCACCTGACTTGTACTAGTGTGTAATATAGCTTAACTTGAATTAGAATAATAAACAAGAAGAATGATGACGAGAGAGGCCAAAAGCCAAGCAGGTAATATCCTTTTAACCCTTTGTAAAATTGCATTCATAAAAATAACAATCAAGTAAATGTGTATTGACCTCCTTTTCCCAACCTACTGGAACAGAAAGAATTTTGCCATCTTAATCCCCTAATTATTGCAAAGAGTATAAAATGTATTTTTGGAAGACACATGCATACCATCAATAAGAAAAAAGCTGTAGACAATAAGATATATTTATGACCTTAAACAACCCATACTGCATGTCAAATGCTGCCTGAATGATATTCTCCATAAAATCTTTGAAAATTCCACCACCATCAATACCAGCCTCCTCAACTCCAAACTCATTGACAAAACTTACTCGAATCTGTAAGGAAACCAAAAAGAAGAAGAAGAAGAAGAAGATTATCCCAAATACCAGACAAAAGAAAGCTGCCTTCATCAGGTGACAATATCAAGAAGGCAGACAATAGATTTTCAAATTTCTATTTAAAGAAAATGTTTTTGATCGGCAGCTATTAAAAGAAGATAAAGTAACAATTTGTAGAAAAGATAAGAGCACGCTACCAATCCTCGTAGATCCTCCTCAGACAATGCACTCATCTGACTATAGGCATCTTCTAAAATATGATCCCGGCGAATTCTAAACCGGTTTCTGGCAGAAACACCATGTGCCCCATGCCGTTTCCTAACTGCTGCTAGTTGTGACTGGCAGATTCATTTATAGAAAACAGTTACAAGCAAGTGCAAAAAAATATCCACAAAGAATTCAAATAATTTTGGTTAGTTTTCTCAGTAAATAATTATCCTTAGTTTCTACATAACAGAGATAAAGACACTATGACAGTCATATCATCTAGAGTTGATTGTATTCTTTTACAACCAATGGCATTCCACCTGAAAATTTGAAAATTTTTACAAATTAATTACTTACAGTGAAGATTTTGACTCTATTGGTGAATGGAATTAAGAAAGGTGCCTGCTTCAATATGTCATGTGCTCTTGTCCCTTCTATTGCAGCCTGGAAAAGGACACTGATTTCAAAACAAGCAGCCAAAAAGAAAAAATATATATAATTCTGGGAATCCCAAGGTGCTCACAAGAGAAGCTATTACTTCAGAAGTAATGTAGTCATTAACCCCATCGGCATGGAAATTAGTAGGGAGAATAAACTGGCGTCTGTTGTTCCAATCTTGCAACTATAAAAAAAATTTACATAACAAAAAATCAGGAGAGCAATAAAGAGCATAAAATTTACCTGCATATCACTATTTCCATCAAATGCAACACTAGATCATATTGAACACTAACAAAGAAAGTTGAGATGTCAAAAATAACCAATCAAACAAGGCCTTAGATCTAACAATTTATATTTGTCAAAAATAACCAATCAAACAAGGCCTTAGATCTAACAATTTATATTGAGATCCAACAATTTATATTGGTATTTTACCTGTGTGAGGAGCTCGGAAGCTACAGTGCTAACCCTATTTTGAATAACTCCAACAGGTTGTGTCTTATGTAAAGATGTATTGGATGCAGATTTAGCTGAATGAGGTTGAGATGTCGGATTTACCCATAGAAGCTGCCACAAAGCCTATAAAAAAGTAAAAAAACAAAAGAAAGAGAAAGAGTTAAAAGTCTTGCTTTAAAGTTTAAAATTCTAAATTTAATATAGTGAAAATGCCAAATAAAGATTAGTGCCCTTATACATTGGATGTAACAGTATAAACAAACAGTTACCAACAATGCCATCATCTGTCAGAAAATATTCAAAAACATTTCTATACAAAAGAAAATACAACCAATATAAGTCTAGGAAAAAAAACTAGTGGTAGCTTCAAAACCTTTATTATTGGCATGCTAAACTGAAGATTCAGCAAAAACAACTTACCTGTCTCAGAATCACAATTAGACATTTAACATCATCTAGTAATAGTGGCTTCTCCAGCTCATAGAACTCTTCATTATCAACTATCGTAAGCATGTGCCTGGTAAACCAAAAAAATGTTCCATTATATCAACCTCATAGCTAATACCTTAGCGTCTAAAGGGGATAGAAAACCAAATTGGTTATATCAACCTCATTAAACTCCCTAGGATCAAAGGGGGACAGAAAAAGTACATGAATGATGAAGAAAGAATTATAACATGAGCTGCTTATGATAAAACAATCACATATCAAACAAACACCCTTACTTGTATACAGGGCAGAAAACAGCCAGAGGCAATAGCCATCCAGGTGCATCTCCAAACAAATATGAAAACTGTGCAGGCAAGGACAACCACTTTTGGTTCTGATGACACCGCTTCATAAAATTCCAAAGCACCGGAACAATTTCAGTTCTATAAGCTAGTATAGTCATGATTCGCTCAACGGGTAAAGTGTAGAAAGTGACATGAAGAAAAGCACAAGCAGCACCAACAGCTGCCAACTCTTTATCATCCAGTCCATCATTTTCTGAACTGTGGACAACAGAAATCCCTCCAAATAACACATTAGTCTGCACCAAAAGAGCAAAATTTAGAATTCCTGCTTTGATGTTAGAAAGGAAAAAGAATGCTTATAATTGGAAGGATAATCTACAAATTAACAATCTGTCAATATGGTAAACCAATTGCAGAAGAAAGCGTGAATCTATGGCATTGATTATCTGCTCTTTCAAATTGCTATCCAGAACTACTGTTGCTACTTCATCACCAGGAATAATATCATCCTCATCCAATTTGGAACCTGAAAATAACATTTTAACGCTTTTTCAATCAAGCAATTCAAAGAAAACTATAGAGGATATCAAAAAGATTAACCCATACAAGTTCTAAAGGCAAATGTGATTTTATTATCAATAAATTTTGGTGAGAAGATAAACTCATTGGCACATTGAAAGAAGAAAGAGAAAAGATTGAAATTATAAAACAGGGCATACTCTCTCTGCTTTCTCCTTCTCCTTTGCTCCAGGATTTTATAGGAGGAAGAGCCTCCAACAAGAATGTTGCCACAGCTGCAAGGTCCACACCCTGGTCAAAATAAGTGCTTGTGTCAGTGAAACTCTTCAGGTTCAAAATCTCAAATGCATACTTGTGTTTAGACATGCATATTCCCCATCAATTACTTCAAAGGTAAATTTTGCAAGTAAGCAAGGCATATAGAATGACCTATACTATAACCATAATTGCTACATTTGAAACAGAGTTAAAATGAGTAGTATAAGAACATAGGCAGTCTTTTTTTACACGCATCAGCTTCTTACCATTTCAAATGAGCAATCAGGCTGAGATAAAGCAAGAGCTGCTGTCTCTAAAATATTACCAAGAAGACAGGCATAACCAGGAAACACAGGCACTACATCACTTGGCAGCACATTAGCATGATTTTGCACACATAATGCCATCTGATTAATATAGTGCTGACTCAGGCTCCGAGATGAGAAGACCTAGAAAGGAAAAAGATTAAAACATTATAATATGCTAATAAATAAATAAAGGAAAGGGATACTGCAAAAACTCAGTTAAAAAAAAAAAATGTTTCAAAGCATAGCAAAAGAAATCAGTAAAACAAGCAGATTTTATAAGTAAATTAGTAGGATAAACAGAAAATACTGCAAAAGACAAGCTTCAAAGGTTTCAAGCACCCCATGGACCTCATCATTCCATGATGTAGGCTGAAAACCAACCTAAGCAGAACACTACACACATAATTATCATGTGAGTAAAGTATTTAAGAAATAAACCTCTTTCAAGCGTGGGAAAAGCTGCCATAAGAAAGGCACTGTGAGAATCTGGGATGAAAAACTCCATCGTGGATCAATATTTGGGCATAAACATGGCTTTTGGCCAACATGAGATACTATAAGTATAAGAACATGTTCCAATAAAGACATTTTCCCCTGAGAACCATGAGCCAGAGTACTTTCCTGCACCACATAAAATAGGTGGTTTTAGAAAAGGGTTAAGAAGCAAATATCATCCTATTTACTACTTACTAGATCAAAAGAGTGTTAAGAAGTTCATGCAGGAAAAGAATAGTTATCAAAGAAAAGAAAACCACAAGATGCATACCTTAACTGTAAGAACAATTTCTCTGAACAGAGTGAATACATGTCTATGAACAAGATAACCAACAACCTTACAAGCCCATGGAAGTTTAGGATCTATCAACAATAGAACTGCTTGAAGCAAGATAGTTGTTGATAAGCTAAACTCCTTGGGAGTCATTAAAAGTTGATCCTTCAATTTATTTCTGTCCAATGAAGAGACAAGATCACCATCAACTCAAATAAAGAAGAGAGACAGATCAATCTCAACATAATTCAAAACAGATTCTAGTAGCTATTCATACAAGTATACAATATATTCAACAGTGACCCTCAATGTTATAAAAGTTAATAGAGTTGATTTCCCTTATATTATTGAATTATTTGAGAACACCATGAAATTGTGAACCCTCATTCTTTCTTCTCTCTTCTTCCTTCCTCAGGTGTTAAAGAACTACCAAGCTACTGTTCACATAAGACAGCACTCAACCTGCCTTTTCTTCCCAAATTGCAGCCAAATTAATATCCTTTACCCACAAAAACAAAATCGTAAATCATCCACAAACTTCCAACCAAATCCTATCAATTATACACCTAATGCATTAACTGTGGCCCTAATATTTTGCTTCCAGAATTTCCAGCTACATTAAGTTGAACCCTACTTCATGATCTAATTCCAATTAAAATCCAGATATCTCAATTTCCATCAAACAACAAAACCTAGAATCTCGTTCAATTATCATAAAATTCATGCATTCATTGTTTTCCTCTGTTTTGTTTCCCTTTCTAGGTCCGTGAATTGCTGAAAGAACACATGTAAAAGCTACTTAAACACAGGAAAGATAGGTGGCCCATCATGTGCTGTAACACAGATGAAAGGGAAAAAAGTGTAAAATAATATAACTACCCCTAATTGACATAATAAGGGAGGGATGCACAAACCTGTTCCAATATATAGCCTGCAAACAAGCAAATGCCAGCTGTTTCACTCTATATTCAACTAAAGTGTGATTCAATGAATAGTCAATGCCAGCAAAGAGGCTCATAACATCCCCTATTGTATATAATATGATAAGTCATTATAATGAGTAACGAACAAAATTTTAAGCCAAAAGTAAAAGGAAATGAGAAAAATAATAAAAAATGTTGGATCATGGATTAAAATGAAAGTAACTTCATATATGAGAATTTTAGAATCAGTTACCACCAAAAACACTTCATGAAATCAAGTAATCACTCTCATTAAAAGACACAAATCCAACTGCTTAAGAGAAAAATAGAATTTTCATGATACGCTACCCTGTTAAACAAGACAAATTTAAAGTAATTCCTCCCTGATTAATTAAGGTTACAATTCTACGGGTAAAACACCTCAGTGACAATGTGGAATGTATAAATTATAATTAGAATGCCAATTCAATTGTTTCAATTAGAATTTTACTTTCCATCAGCCCTTGAAAAAGTGTAAGAATAAACCAAAAAATCCATAAACAAGAAGTCCAAAAGGGGAAAAAAAAGGTCCCTATTTTATAAGTTTCTCTGACCCCAATGAAGTCCAAAAATAAATAAATTACTATGATTAGACACGCAAAAATAAGTATGACTCCACATTCATTTAGTTATTAATAAGACAACTCTTTTCACAGGTACTAACGAAAAATACCACTATCTTGAACAAAATAGAGAAGCGATCGGCATGTCTCAACAAGGACTGAAAAGTCATCAGCATTTTTTGCATTGAAAAAGAAACACAATTGCCTGAGGAACTCTGACTCTGGGCCAAAACAATGCCTGCAATCAAGATAACATTTGATTAATTTTCAGTCATTCAATTTCTAGCAGTTCATATGCTGTGAAAGAAAGATCTAAAATCTTACCAGTCCACATTTTGGCAGTGTTTCCCATAGGTTCCATAGAACTCCTCTCGCACTCTAAATCGTGCCACTTCGGCTTCCCTTCTTGCTCTGAAGCATTTCTGTAGCTAGTAAACAAATCAACACTTTGCAGAAAAAGAAAACACTAGAAAGTTCTTAAATGCAACTAAACAGCACTCCCACTCGATAACATGCATAGATAATTTCAACGCACCAATTTCATCGCATTGCCAATACAGTTTCACTTACAGTTTCTCACGCCGACACTAGGCATAGAATAAAATAAATAAATAAACAACAAAATTCGAATTTGGAAAAAGAGAAAACTTAACCTGAATTCTAACAGCAGCAGAGTTCTGCTGGCGCAAAGAGATGCGGCGATTGCGCTCCAAGCGCCTCTGCTCCAGAAGCTTCTGTCTATCCCTCTCCTTGGAGATTCTGCCTCTCAAATCTACTCGCTTGCGAGTCGTCGGATCACCTGTGAAGCTTTTCATTGTTTTTAACCTTTGACGGACTGTGAAGGAATCTGTGGGAAGCGTTGACGTGTTATATGTTTCCTTGTTTCTCTTCGCTTCAACAAAGCCCAACTTTAGGGGATGCTTTCTTAGGCAAAAACCCATACTTTGCCCCTCAACTTTTTGAGCTTGAGGCAAAATGCCCTCCACCTTACAATGTATGAATATTTGCCCTTATCCTCAAATAATTTGAATAAATGAGGAAAATATTAATGTCCTCCCATTACCCTCCATTTCCCAATTACACCTCAGTGCCACATACACACTGATTTTACACGTGGGCAGCTCACAAACCATGCACACCCCATCTTAAAATCAACACAAAAAGTTATTAATGACATAACACATGATAATGGGCCATATAAGTAAACCTTAATTTTTACTATCAATTAGAATTATTATCATCCACTCATTTTCTTCATTTGTTCTCTACCCTTTTTTCCTATTCATCTTCTTCCCATCTCTGGATCCTTTCTTCCTTCCTTTTCCAACAAATATCTTCCTCACCTCCTTCGTCCTCTTCTTCTTCTTCCTACAGCCCATCACCTCTGCATCTTCGATAAGGATTCAAGCACATCTTCGATAAGGATTCAAGCACATGATCCTGGGAAGGTAGAGATTGAACGGAAGGGATGATGATGAGAGGATAAATGTGTGATTTAACTTTAATTTATAAGTGAGAGTTAAAGAGCGAGACCCACAATTAAATTGTTTAACGTATATTTCTCACCGTGTAAAAAAAGGCTTGGACCTGAATGAGGTTCCAGCAGCAGATGATCATTAACTGATTTGCATGACCTTCTCGATTCTTTGTACTATTTTTCATTCATTAATGATCTACTCTGTAAAATTGGTTAGGGCTTATCATGAGCAATCTTTCTTTTGTTTTTCTTACCCTCCCTGTCCCCAGAAACATGTAAGAAAATGCTCAAGTATCTGCATCTGCAGACATTTTTTTGTTTACTCTGTATAAAGTCACACAAACTGCAGATGACATCTCAAATCTGTTTCAAATGCCTGTTTGAGCTTAAAGTTAAGATGGAAGGGTGTACTTATATAAATAACTTCATTACTAGATGATCAACCTGAGATGATTAAAAAAAAATTGGGTCAAAGCATAATTTATAAATATTTTTAATTAATCTTTCTATTTATCGGCCATGTTCATCCAAACCTTCACCATTGCCTCACCTTCATCTGTATATGGGAGATTTGTTCAGCAACAGGCAAGCTGCATCGCCGACGAGCCCAAGTAGAGGAAGGTGGAAGAAAGATGGCTTTATACTTTGAGAGTGTTTTGCAGTCTGGATTCATACCTACTTTCAATTTTTGATAATAGCCAAGCTCTAATTG